ACAAACAGTCATTCTCGCTGAACAACTAGTGGGAAAGCTTGCCACACAGTGCTCTCAATGGCAAGCTACGTGGTTTTAGCTGGTTAGACTCCAGCAGTTACCCCAACAAACATTCAAGTTATTATGTAATTATATATAATAATCCTTGCACTTGATATAGTGCTTTAACACATCACTGAGACATCTCAAAGTGCTTCACAGAACATACTGTAAAGTGAATTTACTGTATACAACACTAACAATAACAAAATAACATGTTTTGCGCCTTTCACTCCGGGAGGATGTCCCAAGGCCCTGGACAATTAATGGTTCGGACCCGAGCTGTGTGACGTCGGGCGAGGATGGGGGTGAAGTCGGGCGAGGATGGGGGTGATAGGGTCTCGGAGCCTGGTGCGGGAGAGGACACGGGCTGCAGAGTTCTGGATGAAGGAGTTGCAGAGGCCGACAAGCAGGGGTTTGCATAGTGAAGCCTGGATGTTATGAATGGGTGTATGAGGGTCTCGGGGGCCTGCAGTGTGAGACAGTGGCAGAGCCGGGCGATGTTGCGGAGGTGGGGGAAGGAAGAGCGGGTCATGGCACAGATGTGGGGTAGAAAGGATAGTTGAGGGTCAAACAAGACTGCAAGGTCCCGGACTGGCTTAGCAATTTGGTGTGTGCATCCATAGATGGTGATGCTGTCAGCGCCTGAGGTGAGGAGGCGCTGACGGGAGCCAATGACGGGACCCAATCAGGAGAGCCTCGGTTTTGCTGACATTCAACTGAAGAAAATTAGCCCTCGTGCAGAACGTGATGTTTTGACAGACGTTCTGTCAGGACAACAGTGGTCCTGGAGTACATTTTGTGGGTGAAACGCGATCGCCATTTGCGCATAGCAGTATCCCACAAACAAGTCAGATTCATTAACAATTTTTTTTGTTGTTGAAGTAATTATTACCCCCGGAAAAGTGACCACCAATGGATTAACAATCGGGTTTCTCTGTTAGGCGAAGAGGCACGTGGGGCAAGGAAACTCCACCTTTATGAGGCGAATGCGCCAACCACTGAGCTACAGGACTCCACTGCTCACGGTATTGTGGTTCTTGCCATCCTGCACTAATACTTTGTCCATGTGTAGGTGGGATGCATTGAATTCTTAGCTTGGTTTGGATGCTCTTAAGCACGGTGATGGTTTTCCACACGTGTCAGATACCCGGCTGGCCAGCTCCAGTTGCCCTGTTCTTTTTTTCTACTGAATGTAATGTTATTTTCCCACGGCAATTATCGGATTCCTTTAAACGGCCATTACTGATGGACTCAGCTTTAACAAGCGTATGTAGTAAAGCATTCCAGTCTACAACAGCGATATTCAGCCAGTTTAGCTGAGTGGCGCACAATATCAATTCAATCCCCTTCCAATCAATATTGAACCATTCATATCTGTTGGAGGGAAAGCAAAGATAGATACAACCGGCTCGAATATTGATTTAAACCGAGGTAGGCCACCTGATTTTGTACACAGCTCATCTCCCTGTGAGCAAGTTTACTTGGATTTAGTTGAATGGGTAATTCCGAGTATATGCTGTCACGTTTGGGCCAGACTTAATGATTTCTGTATCTAGTAGTTGGATATTTATTTCAGTGTGGCAGACTCCTGTTATTCGCGTTCGTTAAAACAACTTGCATTTATATAGCGTCCTTCATGCCGGGTAGCACCCCAGAACACTTAACAGTGGCGGAGTTTGACCCCGAGCAGAGAGGCAAGTAACCATAAACACGATCAAAAAGTTCTTTAGGTGAGATTTGAAAGTGAGGAGAGATGGGGCAAGGCGAAGGGATTGGGTAGAGTTCCAGAGCTTCAGTGGTGGTGGGGGGGGAAGAGGGCCGAACAGGAGGCCGGAGCCGGTGGAGCAGAGGCAGCGGGTGGTGGTGTGTGGAGGGTGAGCTGGCCAGTTGTGAAGGTTGTGAAGGGATTTGAAAACGAAAAGTTGCGCATGAACAAATCTATGCAGAATATATAGGTTATAGATTCATGTGGAACATAAACACCAGCAATGGACCAATTTCATGTTCCCCCACCATCACAGGCAGACTGCCCCATTCTTTCAAAGTCCCTCTGACTTGCTCCCTCACCTCATTTAAGCCAGTTTCAAAAAGCTCTTGGCCTGCACTTTTAGTCATCTTTCCCCCTTCCTGCTCCCGCCTTAACTGCCAGCCGGCATTGCCAAGAGCTTTCCTCCCAGCGTGAAAAGTGTAAAAGATAATCACTGTGTGAGCTGGAAAGGGTGATGTTTCATAGCCACCTTTTCAAACCAAACAATTGCAACACGTTGGGCCCATCGTGCCTGCGCTGGCTCTCTGAAAAAGCTATCCATTTAAGACCCATTCCCCTGTCTTTTCCCCATGCGGAACCTTAAATCTTTAGAAAATCAACCCATCAAGATCATTAAGAAATTATAGGCTCGGCCTAACCAGCCCGTGCTAGTGTTTATACTCCATGCGAGTCTCAACAATTCCTTACTCCCTCCCAGACCCTTCTATTTCCCTCTCCTCGTGTGAAGATGATGTGTATGTACAAGAAATCCATTTATCTATTACATTTGTCAAGCTCTACTCACCCTTTACAAGCATGGCTCACTAATCAATATTTCAAAGTGCTTATTAGCATTATCCTATTGCTTTTACCGAAGCAATTATATACATATAGATCACACGCTACATAAATAAGGATCAACCCCAACCTTTGAAAAGTGATGACTCAATGAGTGGTTCATTTCAAGGTCAGAAGCTACTGAACGGATATGCTTTCATGAATACTAAACACATCTGTAAGAGGTTTCACTGATTGGCAGCAAAGCCAGTCAACTGCTACTGTGCTGTCGTACTATTACCAAGTCACAAAGCTAATGCAAAGGCTCCCCCCAATGGTGCGGTTGTTAAATGCAATGGTGGGGGTTACAGCCGACCATAGATGTGGATGATTTAATTATTCCAGGTCTGTACCCAGCCTGTTGTTCCTAGGAGGACACAACTGGCTTCAGTGTACCTCGGTGGGGTGGGGGGAGAGAGGGAAAGTCAGCTGAGCCCCATTTAATGCCTCCTACTGAAAAGTGAATATATATGCATCAGAGGCCTCAAATACCTGTACTGTAGACTGCAAGTGGTTATTCTTCACACAGTTGTTAAGGCTGTTCAACCCACTCCTGTCCTGAATTTTATAGGATGACTGCAATGTAGCAGGGATCACAATATAGTTTTTTTTTGGGGTCAGCCAGGTACCTGCAGAAAGCCATCAACTTGCTCAAGAGCTTAAGTTTCGCCTACTTTACAGTATATGCTGTGAAGCGTTTTGAGATGTCTCGTAGACGTGATAAAGCACTATATGGAGTACTGTAGCTCAGTGGTTAAACACTCGTCTTGCAAGCGAGACACTTGGGCTCAATTCCACGCAGGGCCAAACTTTGGGCAAGTTTCCTTACTCCACACGCCTAATAATAATCCCTGAGAAACAAAACAATAATAAATTGGTCATTTTCTATCCACGACTGTTTGTGGGACACTGCTGTGTGCAATTGCCTGCTGCATTTCACCCACAAATATACAGTCAATTAACTTTACAGCATATTCTGTGAAGCGCTTTGAGACGTCTGGAAGACATGAAAGGCGCTATATCAAATGCAAGGATTATTATATATCACATGCATTACTGCTATTATAATAATTGCATTTGATACAGCACCTTATATCTTCTAGATATCTAAAGCACTTCACAGAATATACTGTGAAGTTAATTGCACATCGCAGTGTCCCACAAAAGTGGATTGAGTGACCAAATTATTATCCGCTCATCGACACGCAACCGGGTTCCTACTTACTGATAGGTAAACAGAGGCGTAAGGAAGCTTGCTCAATCTTTCATCCTGCCTGCAAATCAAACCCAGGTCCTATCTCTAAACTACAGGACTCTGCTGTAAATCAGACATAGTTCCTCACGTGTGCCACCTACATACAGAAATTTCCATGCTTGGAATATAACACACCATCTGTTTGCAGATGGATGCACCCTGCTTTCACCCAAGTCTGTGAGACGCAGGTTGTCAAGAGCCAAAGTTTGGGGATCTCAGAGTGTGTGTTGGTGTACTGCAGTTTAACATGCTGAACCACATAGCTAGCCATTGCCAGCACTATATGCCAAGCTTCTCACTGCTTCACCAGCTCAGAGTACCCATCAGCACTTAGGCTTGCAGGGTTAACAGGAGCCAGGAGGGAAGAATCCCTGTGCCCAGTTACTGGTCTGTCATCAGCAGTGCCCTAGAGTTCTGTACTCCCTCCGGACTGAGACTATGAGATCACCAGAGGACTAAGTAGATTCCAGCAATCCATTGCTGAGCATGACAGCTCGGAGCCATATCCTGCTTACCTTCCTCACCAGGAGGCTAGTCAGCCGTTCAGCAGGGACCAGGAATTGATGAGACCTACCTGATTGGTGTAGTTTACCACCATACCATAGTTTACTTATCAAGAGCTATCAGGGTCACCAGCAACACCCTCATTCTCAGCTGACTTGCTCAGATAAGGAACAATTTTTATGTTATCTCTGAATAATCCATTGTTTTATCCAGTTAATGTCAAGGGAGTGGTTTCCCCTGCACTACAATAGGGGAACATCCGACTCCCAACATACCTAGATTTTTCACTCAGTCATGTCTAATAGAGACTACTTAAACTGGGACAGCAACAAATGATTCTGAGTTAATAGAATGCTTGGCATAGATTAACACTTGCTAATTGGGATTTTAGGGATGCTGAGCTAATGTTGAGCATGGATACTGTCCATTTAAGTCACCAGGAGCTTCAGTCTCATCCCAAACAGCTTCTGATTAAAATTAAAGAAAGGAATTAATAGACAGTGTTTATTCTAAATCAACAATAAACCCCCTAAATTCACAAAGACTGAAAAACATACATTTTTTTAAAAAAGGACAACTTAAGGAAAATCATCGAGAGAAATGACAAAACCAAGGTTATTTTCTTTTGTTTAATCATTATCCTTGTGAAAACTCTTTTCTCTGCAGCAGGAAAGCATTGTTGCCTGATTAAAATGACTATTGCTCGAGTGAACGGATGGACTACATGGGAGTCCTTACAGGTACATTGCGAATGCAAACGTAGGCACGAAAAGGCTCAACGCAGTGAGAACAGAAGAGGTCGCCAAGCAAAGATGCCGTCTGCATCAAATAGATCGATGCCTACATTAGCAGTGGTTGATGATCTGAGCCACCCTGGGCAATACATGGGAAATACATACATGGTCCACAACTGATAGCAGTGCTGAACGTGGGGACTTTGCCATGCGTTTGTTTCTGCTTTAAACCAACCTAGCAAATTGGGAGGAGAGCATTTAGGGCAAACAAGAGTGTCCAAAAGGAACAATGATTACAAAACAATGATGGGACCCTCAGAGGTGCCGGTGCATCCAACTTTGTGCCAGCAGCAAAGACCTGTGCGTATTACTTGTTGACAACGGCCTGAAGTCTACCTGTCTGTAGCTATTACAGCAAATACATCGACTTTGGTTTGAACGTTACAATTGGAGACGTGGTGACAATTTTATTCCGATTGGAAAAAGTGCAGTCCGTGTGGGAGCTGCTGCCAGGATTTTATCTAACAGACAGGAGGGGCAATAGTGGAAGGGGTATTGCAAGTCCAAGTAGTTTTCTAATGGCATCAGTGCTGGCTTATCGGTTTTCAGTAAACTGACCTCCTATCATGGTGATGCTTGCTAATGAAGTACTTGAAGAATTCATACACAGACCAGGCGATGGCTGTAGATGGCATCTGGTAGATCACTCTAGCCTGAGCCCCCTTGAAATATGCTGGGATACCTCCCAGCCGGTAAACCGTCCTGAAGGCATTTGCCATGCCAGAGAGATGTCCGCTGATATTGAGGGAGTTCAGGGCCAGGGATTCCTGCGTGTTTAGTAGTGTTTTGCAAACGTCCAGTGGTGTGGTAACGGCAGCTGCCACAGCTCCAGCCATGGCGCCAGAGAGAACGTGCGAGGAGGGGTTGTATTGTCTGTGTGGATTCAACTGCTCCTGCAAGAACTCGTAAGTCATGAAATGAACGGCTTGGAAGGGGATGTTCATAGTCAGTTGGGTGGTATAGCTCCGGTAAAAGGCACCGGCCCCTTCAGCTTTCCACACTGTCCTCATGCAGTCCAAGACTCGTTTGTATGGAGAGTTGTACATCTGCATTCGCTGCTTCACCACTGCGGTCCCATGGCGCGATCCAGGGTTGGGGGAGGGAGGGAGGTACAAGTCAATTTCCGTAGTGTTCCGGGTCACGCGATCAGCCATGTTAAAGAGAGATGGGTTAGAGCAACAAAAGCAAAACATTAAAAAATAAAGGGAGAGAGAATGAAAACAAGTTAGTGATGCGTTTGAAATCACGAATCAGACCCTCCACCCCTCAAAAAAACATTCACAATCAATTTAAAGGACTTGCTGCATTTATTTAAAAAACATTTTCGTTATAATGCAGCCCACATTGTACTCAATACCACAATCCCATCAGCAAAACCGTCAGTATTCACACACTGCACTCGACAGCAAAGTTGCTGCGTTATCTTGAAGCAAGTTCCTGGCGTACCTTCCTGCTAGCATTGTGCACTAGCGATTGGTGTGATACGCCAATGGATTGGGAGTTGCTGAGTGAAGAAGAGGCACGTCATCACACAGGGCAGAGACAGTATCATTTAACAGTAGCTAAACGCCCTAATAATTTCCTGGTAGAATTAACTCTCCCTCCCCTCAAATTCAAATTGCACAACTCAGATGCAATTGCTCATTCTAGACAAACTGGCATTTGGCAGAGCTGAGCACAGCAGGGAAGAGAATACTGAAACCTCCTTTGAAATTGCTTTACTGCATCAAAACAAGCTGACCCTTGGACTTTGTAAGTACTACAAATTCCTTTTTAGTTCCTTTTAAATAAAAAATCAAAAGATTAAATTCGCAGCTGCAACAAAGACAACAACAAATTTGTATAGCGACTTTTACGCCAGAATGTTCCAAGGCACTGAACAGTCAGGGATTGGCACCCGAGTGGTGGTTGGGATAAGGAGGGGTGGAGGGCAGGGAAGGAGGGCGAATAATAATAGTAATAATCCTTGCATTCCTTTTCACGTCGGAAAGGACGTCCCAAAGCGCTTCACAGAACACACTGTAAAGTGAATTGACTGTATATTTGTGGGCGAACGCGGCAGCCAATTGCGCACAGCAATGTCCCACAAACAGTCGTGGATTGAAAATGACCAATTTATTATTGTTTTTTGTTTTGGAGGGATTATTATTAGGCTCTGTGTGGAGTAAGGAAACTTGCCCAAGGTTTCGCCCTCTGCCTGGAATTGAACTCAGGTCTCTCGCTTGCAAAACGAGTGCTCTAACCACTGAGCTACAGGACTCCACTCCTGTAAAAACTTCCTCAAAAGCTACCACTTAATAATATTCTTGAAATAAAGATTTTCTATTTTAATAACCCCCAGTGACTGGTTTAGCACAAGGATTCCAGGCAGTTGGCACAATAAACGCAAGGCCAACTATTTTAAACTCTTAATGGTTTTGTATTTTTGGAAAAGTTTCAACTAAAAGTGGAACCTCTTGACTGGAGTTTTGTTTCCCCCTGAAAATGTATCAACATTGCTTTGGCTTTCGAGCTGTGGAAATGGAGAAGTGTCCTTTTAAAAAGATGTATACCAAGTTGTGAAAAGGAAGGTAAAGCTAGATCTTCCTTTAACGCGCACACACACATTTCCTTCTCAAGTCAGTTACACGCAGATTCAATCCCCATGCATCAATCGCTGAGGTTAATAGGATTACAACAATGATTTACATTTACTTAGCGCCATTCAAAGTCAGGAGACATCTCAAAGCACTTTATTCACACATTTGACTGGGAGAAGGAGCTTTGGGTGGTGGGGGGGGAAAAAGCTAAATGGGGAGAGAGAGGTATGGTTATACAGGTCTTAAGTTAAGTGAAGGTAATGCAGGCCATTATTTTAAAATGATAGTACAGATTTGGTTAAAAGGATAGGTTATACTAAGGTTCCACCCCGCAACCCCCCCACCAAAATCAAGCAGCCAAGAGCAAACCTAATCTTAATATATGGGCCCATCATTCATTCGTGAACAAGCCAGCACATCAGGGAACAGTCTGACTCCATTGTCATGCCCTCACACCAACTCCCGACAAGTCGCTGAACGCAAAACTAAATTACGACAATATAACAAGCAGAACAATCTGTATTTATATAGCACTCTCCATCCCTCAGAACTCTTAAGGAACAAAACCAGAGCGAGCAATGCAGCTATTGCAGTGAAGAAATTACTAGCAAAGAGCAGCTATAAATCTGAATGTTCATACAGTCAGTAGACTGTTGAAGCTTCAGGGGAGAGAGAATATAGACAAACACACACACACACACACACACACACAGAAAGAGCAAGCAAGATATTTCCAAGAAGCTAGTGAATGTCAACATCTGCTGGCGAAATACCCAAAGCAGCCCTTGGGTGACCCTCAACACTCAGCTGAATGTGCACCTGCAAGATCCCAGCAAACTTGTCACCTTTCCAGCCCAGAGCTTGAATCTCCTCACCCACGACCTTGCCCTTCCCAGCTGCACATTCCCCAATCAGAAAGCAACACTAATGAAGCTATAGAAAAGCTCTTTCGCATTTTTTGCTAAAAAAATACTTTTCTGTAGCCCCGCTGTCTCTCATCGCTCAACACTAGCTCCACTGTCATACGCTCACGGCACCTGGCCATCGCTTTGATCTTCCAGTTCACCCTCCCAACACGTTCAATCAAACAGACTTTGAGCAGAACAGAATTTACACTGGAAGTTTTTTTAAAAAAATCTAACTACATTGAGTAGTGTCCTGAGTAACCAATAATAAAAGCGATTCCAGATTTCAATTCCAGATTTGCTCGTACTGTCTGTGAACACACCTGCCCTCAGTGAACAAACAACAAATGACATTTTTACAGCGTCTTTCATGTTGGGATGACGTCCCAATGTGCTGGACAGTCAAGAATTTTCACCCGACCTGGGGATTGGGATCAGAAAGTGTAGAGGGCAGTCAGGGAAGGGTAGAAGGGTGACCGAAAGCGCTGTCGAAGAGGAGAGTCTTGAGGCGGGCTTTGCAGGAGGCAGGGGAATGGGGTGCGAGATTAAGGGACAGTGGGATAGAGTTCCAAATAGTGGAGGCAGAAAGGCTGAAGGCACGATAAGGTGAGGTGGACTGGGCGGGGGACATGGAGCAGGCTGGAGTCTGCTGAGCGGAGGGAGCAGGCAATCCAATTTAGATACTTTCAGTATACACAGAGGCTATCAATGCTTCAACACTCGGCTTTGAGGCAAACCCAACTATTCTAAGAAAAAAGTGCACGACACACACACGTTAGAAATCCCAGCCTATTCCTGGAACAGTAGAGCCAGGAAAACCTGTTCCCCACTCATCCCACACAGTAGGTTTGAGCACTCTCAACACAGTGGTGAGTGATATGGTGAAAAGTGCAGTAAACTTCCACAAGCCTGCAGCAGAATTATACTGTGTCTAATCATTTACTTTATCACAACTCAATTTAATGTGCGGTGACAAAGATGTCATATAACAGCATTTTGCTCATCACTGTCCAGTGGTTTGGAATGGACGCAATGAAATCCATTTGAGACATTTAAAGTAACAAGCTAGACTGTGAATGACTTCTCCCTCTAGTAGAGGGAGCCAAAACGTAGCACAATCTTAAAATGAGAGTTTAACTGGTAAGGAGAGAGATCAGAAAACATTTTCTTCATAAAGGGGGCTGTGGGAACATGGAACACACTGCTCGGGGAAACCAAACAGGCAGAATCAAATAGGATGTTCAAAAGAGAAACAGAAGTATGAGCACCAAGGGGAAGCCTGGCTCAGTGGCGGAACCCTTGCTACAAGACAGAAAGGGGTGGGTTGAAGCTCCATGTCAGAGTTTTGAGCACAGGTAGACACTCCGACATTGTGCTTGGAGGGAGGGGGGGGGGGGCGCACTGCAATGGTGCCATCCTTCAGAGGATATGTCAAAACCAAAGTCCTGTCTGTCTGTTCAGTTCGATGTTAATCCCACAACACTATTCAAAATGAAAAGGGAATTCCTCCTGAAATCCAGGCCAACAATCCCCCAGATAAAATTGGCCACTTATTTTATGAGTTTGCGTGACTTTGCTGTCATCAAAGTGGCGGCCACACTGGCCTACAAATAATCACATTTTACACAGTAATCTGTGACACTAGTGACATGATAAGGTGCTATATCAAATGTGAGGATTATTAAGGGGATTTTAGAAGATGTGCCATTATATTTTAATAACAGGTTCAATGGGCTAAATGGCCTCCCCCTGTTCGTGACTTAAACTGAGTATTTTAAAAAGATCAATAACTGCATGTGAGTTAGTGCGATGCTCTGCTCCAGAGCCTTACTCTTTATAATGAGAAGATAATGCAGAAGTAGATAATGCAGTATAAAGCTGGTGGGTGGGGAACGACGGGAAGGAGGGGTTAAATAAAATTTGAAGCAACGCACCATTTCCCCCTGAAAAATACTTGCAGATAAGTTAAAGAAAAAGTGCTTCAAAAAAAAGTTCTAACGACTACCAATGTGCCCGAAAACACAACCTGGAAGGAAGGGTCCACGCCCCGAAAGACGGTTTCAGAGGAAATCTGTGACGTGTGTGTGTAACATTACCTTCAGCGGGGTTCATTGCTGCATCGTGAAACAAAGTGGCCACACACCCTGCCGCACCTGAAAAATAAACTCCACAGATTAGCTGCCGGACTGAAGGTTCCTGGGAGCCACTAAGTGCTGGGGTGGGGAGGTGGAAGAAAAAACAACTTTGATCGCTTGACTGACTGTAAAGGCAAAGTATCGCGTCATATTGATGCCCACAGTATATTGGGCCCCATAAAAGCTGGTGTAATCAAGAATATCACTCGTGATGATCAGTCCTGGATTGTTGGGTTGATCCAACAAATACTCTCCTCCATCTGAGTCCTATCCCAAGCTGGTACTGAAACTGCCCATATATAGACATCGACACAAGTAATTAGTTACACTCGACATATCAGTCTTGGTAGAAAATAAGAGAAACGCACATTGTAGAGGGTTATTTCAGTGCACGCTGGATGTAGGAGATGGACACAATCTTAAGATATTTGTTGCCCTCATTTCTTTCCTTTCAGCTTCATACTGGGCAGTGCAGAAGCTGCCGCACACCACAGCCCTCTATACTCACCATCAATGCCAGGCTGATTGGCTGGTAGGAGGGTGCAGACACAGCACACAGACTCTACCACAGAACCAGGCTGCAAACAAAATGTCATTCCACCAAGTAGAACAGCAATCTTACAACATTAGGATTTTTTAAAAATAGGAATAAAATAGGATATAAATAACTACTGCTATGAAACTCAAAGCCTGTTGAATTTGAGGAACCAGTAAGAACTCTCAATAATGTTAGAGTGATCACTACATTTTGGTTTCCGAGCTCATGGTTGAAACCCCACATCAGAACTGAAGCTCACAGCCCAGGCTGAGATGTGGAAAGCGCTGCATTATCAGAGATATAGGCCTTTGGACAAGACTTTAAACCTGTCAAAAACTAAGCTCTACTCTGCATAGAATTTGGGGCAGACTTAGGTTTTACAATAAAGAAAAATATTTAAAGTAACGTCAGAGCTCTTGACGCATACAGAGCAAGAGCTTAAATTGGAATAATAGAATGACTGGTTTACAAATTCTGACTCTCTTCCATTGACAATCATTTACAGAGAAAATTTCAGAGGGACACCAAAAAACAAGATGACTGAACTGGAGTTAATTAATGTTAAGTTAATGCTTTCGATGAGATGCAGGTTTTTCACCAGCAGAGTGCATCAGCATGCATAAAATACTTTATAACATGTGATCTTAGTTAAAGCATTCTGTTTCGCAATTCATTGCATTGAGAGATTAACATTTAAATACACAGGTCAACTTCACTTATATAAAAAAATCACCTACAGACTGTTGAGGGAAAAAAAACCATCAAGTTTTCTACTTACCCAACAATACATGACCTGCAAGATGAAAAACCATAAGGAAAGAAGATAAAGGAGGAAGGAAACAAGACAAGAAATGCCAAGACCAGTTACCAGCACTTAAGCAGCTCAAGAACACATTCTTCCACCAACCACAATTAAAATAGAACAAGTTCTTTTGTTTTGATAAGAACATGAAAATTGCTAGACGAAAGAAGATCAAGGTCCTTCCAATTCGTCTTCTACCGTCCTGGCAGTCGCTTGGACATGTCATGTCCCAAACTGTATACGGTATCTCACAATACTATTTACTAACAGAAATCTATCTAATTCCTTCCTTTTAAAGTTTACAATCAACTTCAAAATGCTACGCGGCTAACAGGTCAATAGCCCCAAGACACTCAACAAGCAGACAAGGCAAGACAGATACTTAAGCATTAAAATTACAAAAAAATTACATCAGGCTGTGCAAAATCATGCTTTTTCAACAGTTATCATGCAACCAGATTCTTTCTTCCATTTACTATCTGGCTGGGCTGGGAGTAGTCGGTAGAGATGATGAGACCACCTCCCACCGCAACGTAAAAACTCCAAATTCATTCAAACTTGTATTCAATATGGAAGGAAGGGTGGAAAGGGGGAAAAAAGCTTAAGTACAAGAGTTTGACTTAATGTGTTTCGCTCATAAAATAGTCAATTCACTTTATAGTATATTCTGAGGTGCTTTGAGATGGGATAATGAGCTATATCAAAAAATGCATTATTATTAATAATAATCCTTGCATTTGATGGATAATAATGGGAAAAGGTTGAGTTTTTGCCTCAATGCAACATTGATCAGGTAGTTAAGAGCGACCTGGTGCAAGTGGGTAAAAACGGGCTTCAAGTATGGTCTCATCATCTCTACCCACTACTCCCAGCCAGATAGTAAATGGTAGTTCCCAGACCAAGGTTTGAGATTTCAACCATCAAGCATTTAAATAGGGCATCTCACAGTGAATCGTGTACTAGTTCTCAACCAGGCCACTAGGTGGGACACATCACACAGAGTGAGACAAAGCACTTATTGAACTACAACAGCCTGTTGGATAATCAGGAACTAGGGCCTGGTGTTGGTGAATAAAAGCACAGGAACAGCGGGCATAAGAAACAGAAGTACACGCGTAGGGAGATCAAGTGCCACAAATTATATTCTAACCGTGGAGAAATAAATGAGGTTGGAAAACAAACTGTAGGAGACAACAACAGCATTTAAATAAACAGTGAAAGGCTGCGCAGATTTAGTGGAATTGGAAGGAAACTTAAGATGCCAATGACAGACACAATGAAATACAGTTAACCTCAGTTTAGCTCTTCCTCACTTTCCCACGCGCACTCCTCCTGCCAACCATTAATGTTCTCTTGACACGGTTCTATACTGAATTACAGAATGGAAAGAGGCCATTCAGCCACCTATTCCACAAAACCCTGCCCCCCTTCTCATTTCCTCCCATACCGTTCTATTCCTTTCTCCCTCATGTGCTTGTGTGATTGCATAGTGACCCAAGTGCGGATCTTACTTGAGTAAAGACCCCACTTAGGTCATTTGTGAGCCTAGTCTAGGCAGTGTCGGTCAATAGGCTCTAATGAAGAGTATGAGGGTCAAAGCAACTCTGGGCCAAGAAACAACTGTAATACCCAAGGCTCTCAATCAATTTACTTTCAGGCTGAACTGCTTTCTATGAACTCACTCTCACACTAACTGTGGGAAGCTACAGTGGAGCCCAGTTATAATGCAGATGCTGGGATCTATAATATCCCCACCTGTACTTCACCAGGCAACTGTCACCTGCCCCACTTCTATATTCAGACAGAAGGCAAACACTGGTCGGTGTGGGGAAGCCAAAGTCATTGGGCTGATGATGACATCACTTCCTTCACACTATGGCATGAGGAAGTGACATCAATGGTGACCTGATGACCTGGAAGTCCCCAGCCAACATTTTGTCTTTCTGCGCACTTGCGATGACGCCGATATGGAGCTTGGTGAGGATACTTTGGGTTAAGTAAATGTTGGGGTTCAATCAAGCAGTAAGTGAACCCACATTCCAATGAAGTACTTTATAATGGGCTCTGGATTGTCCTCATCTTTAGAGACAAATGTTTAGCATGGAATGCCATCCTGCACTATTGCTACCTGTAAATCATTAAATCACACTTTCCCTCTTATATCCTTAAAGCTTTTACTTTTAAGTGCTTATCCAATCTGCCTTTGAAGGATTCCATTGATCCATCCTCAACAGGCATCCACTTGTGCATCCAACAACCTCTGACTGCTTTGAATGATCCTGAAGCTTTGATCCTGATCTCAGATGCCCTCAAATAAAGGGAACTCCCATCAGAAGATTAAAGACATAATTTTCCTCTCAAATCTCCTCTGAGTCAGTGGAAACAGCCCCAAAAAACAGCATTTTAGCTGGAGTACATGAAAGCGGCTTGTACCAGATCATGGCAATCATGTACGATTTATCGCACTGGAGATGATATTAAATGGATTACCCCCCTTCAATGATCTCAGGTTGGGGATAAAACACTAAGAACATTGCAGAAAGTGAATTTTAAAAAGAAATTACCTCACAGGCTAGAACAGACAGCATCTCAGGTTAGTTGAATTTAAAACTCAGGACAAGTGCAATTAGTTGTAATGTCTGGTAAAGGAGTTTAAAAAACATTTGTAGCAAGCGTTAACACAGATAGAAAGGATGGGGAGGGAGGAATGGCAGCAGGTAAACTAGTGCGTGAGATAGAATCACTGGAGAAATCGTCAATACCATTAGCTATGTGACTATTGCCACCAGGATGGATAGCATCGCTCAGTGTCTTTTTAATTTTTTCATAGCAGGCAAAATAGAGGGCGTGGGCTGGCCCAGCGCCAGTGGCAGTCACATTCAATCCCCTCATTGGCCTCCAAAAGCCTTCAGTGCGGACGATCCTCTTCAGGGCATCCATTACATTCCTGTACCTGGCGGCTGGTTCCGGCTGAAGGCTCTGCATTCGTGTCTGAAATCAGAAAACAGGTTGTCCATCAAAACCCAGGGCCAGATAGCAAACCTCCCAGAATATCAGACCAGAGCCTGAAGGGGGTCTGACCAGAGCAAAACAAAACATTGTAAAGGCAGCGTCCATAAGGTGTAAAAGGGAGTTTAATACATGCTTGAAAAAGAGGCATATTAAGGGACATGGAGAGCGAGCCGTAAAGTGGGATTAGTCTAGGTGTGGAGGAAAACCGCAAGCACAGATCTGAAGGGCTGAAAGAATTAATTGCAGCACAGAAACAAACCTATGTCCTCTCAGCAATTCTGAGTATTAATCCAGACGAACAAGCAGGATCTGTACTGCACTTAATGGACAATGTCTGAAAACTCAACTCAGGCGTGAAATTTTACTACAGCCAAAAATGACCAAAAAACTTTCCATCTGAATAGTTTGCTGCTCTTGAAAATTCTGTAATAACCTTCTGTATCAAAACCAGTCTCCTTTAGAATGCATGATCTCTCCTGTTTGTCAATGATAGTAAAGGAAGAGCCAACTATCAAAAGGTTCCTTAAAATAAATTAAAAATTGGAGCAAGCCTCAAGTCTCATCGCCACATGTTTGCAGGCATAGGTAGTGCAATAGCAAGCTATAATAATAATAATCCTTGCATTTGGTATAGCGCTTTTCACGTCAGGAGGACGTCCCACAGAACATACTGTAAAGTGAATTGACTGTATATTTGTGGGCGAACGCGGCAGCCAATTGCGCACAGCAATGTCCCACAAACGGATTTAGCTGATTGAACTCTGGCATTTCTTGGGATCTCCAAGTCTTGGCTGTTGTCAACCTGCGTCTAATACTCTCAGGAAATTAAGTAAGCATGGCATGCCCGTCCAGGGAGAGATTGTGTACCCCATTTCTGACACAGGAGGATTTCCACTTGTAGGTGGCATATACAAAACATTCAAGAAAACCAAGAAACAGATGTACTGTGCCACAGAAATCCAAGTGGACAGTTTGAGAGCAGCAGCCGGGAGAAGAGCAAGTGCCTGCCTCCCTTGTTGCTATAAGGACACGTTGGCCATCACCCTCTCCAATTCATCCAGGTTCCACAATGAGAGGAAACGTTAACTATTTAACATACTACTGGTCCTGGATGTTTATACTGAAGTACCAAGGCTTGAAATTCTTCAGCTTAATGTCAAAGGCCATAGCTTTGAGACCATGAATCTTAGAAAACTCTTAAATCAACAAATTACAATTATACAATGCCTTTCCGGTCAGGAGGACATCCCAAGGCCGAGACAGTCGAGGGTTTGCACCGGAGATGGGGGAGTGGGGTACAAATGGTGGGGACAGAAAGGCTGAAGGTCTGACCGTCTGGTTGGTGGGACGGTTGGGGCTGGGGATGTGAAACAGACCTCAGAAAGTAGGGTGGGGCAAGACCATGGAGGGCTTTGAACACAAGGATAAGAATAAATATTAAATCGGAAGAATTTTCACAGCAGTCAAAAAGGACCAAGGATTCCCAATTAAGTTTCCAAATTAAGACCATACGCAAAATCCGTATGTAAGAATAATAATAATTTGGTCACTCAATCCACTGCTGTTTGTGTGACACTGCTGTGCGCAATTGGCTGTCGCATTTCGCCCACAAAATATACAGTAAATTCATTTTACAGCATATTCCGTGAAGCGTCTGAGATGTCTGGAAGACGTGGTTAGGCATATTCCATACCAAATGCAAGGATTATTATATTATATATATGCATTGCAAGACACATTTCCCAAATTTGGCATGGTCTTCAATCTTAAGATAATGGTCTTAAGGCTAAGGCCACGAGAAATTTCAGGCCTCAGGTATTCACTTGGCATCAGTCTGCACTTGCTGGATTGAAGCCACCAGCTCACACAGTGGGGAAAGTACAACTGCAGAACAAGAGAATAAAGTACATATAAAAAATGCGTGTTTTCACTTTCATTTCTAAATTGTGAAGCCAGTGAAAAACAGACAGAAGCAGCAAGTCTTACATAACAAAACTCACAACACTGCATTCAGAGACGCAACCCCACGTGAAGGATGTCTACATAAATGTAAGTTGTTGTCTCAAAGAGAGTTAGTATTTCACAGATGTAAAAATGTGGTTTCCACGTAGCAAGTACGAGCCAGGCAAGAAATTTTATTATTCATGATTTTACATGGGAGGGGACGAGGCGGTGGGGGAAGAGACGAGAGTTTAGGCCATTCACAAACCTAGCTTTCCTGGGATTAACCAATTCACAATGCAGAAAGGCTGTAAAAAATATTGAATGCATCAACTCAGAAGGCACAGAGGCTGGCATCTATTAGGATGTTTGATAGATGCAGGGGAACCAAGGGTTTGTCTACAGATATAGTCATTACACAGGCATGTGAGTGATACAAACACATTCAGGCTTTTTGGACTAAATCACCAACCTAACCAGAATAAGACGAACATTGAGTAACAGCAACACAATGCATTCATTAGATTGTCCAAATATTTAAACAATGGGTGAAATAATTGCCTGTCGCCACAGTTCCCAGTAATCTCAAATTCCAATCACTCCGAGAGGAGAAGCATAGCATTTCCCCAAAATAGATTTTGTTGAAGCATAGTTACAAACACCCCAAGTTAAAACCATCAGTATGCTGAAAAATTGAATTGCAGGCATCTAAGGCCCTATCACTCCTGTTCTCTGAGACTTCACTCTTCCACATAAGGGCAACTGCTGTAAGGTAAAAATTAGTCAGAAGCAGAAAGGAAATTTAGAATAGGTTACATGAGAAGCAAAGAGACACACATTTCCTACTAGAAATAATGAATTGCTAGTTTGAGCATACCAGGCATCACCTAATACCACCCCCGCGCTCCAGCCATTACTGGCTTTCAGTGTGTTGCGATACTGTAAATGCATTTGATACTCTCAAAGAACCTGACACAATGCATCAGAGCAACAACTGTAAAGCAGCTAATCTGCACCACTAGCATTCCATTAGTAGCAATGATATGAACGGCCATTATACTGTAAATTTCAATGAGAAATTTAAGAAGTGGCTATGATTCCCTGCTCATTGAAATCAAAGATGCCGTACACCCCATGGAGTTTCTCCTGGTGTTTCGATCACAAATCCTCCGGATAAATTGGTCTTTCACACTATCCACGTGGACATGTGCTGCGTGCAAATTGTTTCTGTACAGCTAATTACACACAGCAATGCCCGACAAACAGTTGTTTATTGAGTGACCAAATTATTATTATAAAGAAAACATTTTTGTTTTCTTAAAGGGTTTATTTCCCCTAGAAAAGCGATCCATCAATCGACTAATGACCAGGTTCCTACTTACTGCTAGGTAAACAGAGATGTGTGGAGTAAAGAAACTTGTAAGGATTATTATAGTGAGTTGCCCAGATATTGTGAGTTACACTCACCCTACAAACCTGGTCGTTGGTTAATGACTACTGTTTGCATGCTACTTGCAGCAAATGCCTACATTAAGATGGGAGTATCTATCTGGCAATAATGGTGCAGTGCCGACTTTGGTCACGATACTATTCTTGGTCTTGCAACTGATTTAAACAAGGAAAGGACTGTGTCCACTTTGTAGACCAAGCTTAGGCAGTTTGCTTCTTCCTGTACTGTAACAGCTCAGAAGTCAGGAGCTCCACTGTCCCGTTCAAGATTAAAAAAAGGGTAATCAACCATACAGATCAAGTTCAATTCAGTTTTAAAGTCCCAACGGCTCGAAATGGCAAGAATGACAATTGAACAAAATTGTGCAATTAGTCTGTACTTAGTGTAACTTACAGATAAAAACAAGCAAGGGACGGCTATTTTTGTTCTGCTATATTTAACTGTGACCGGGGGAATGCAGACACATACACGCCGCTACCTACATTTGTCTCCTTACAGACTTACAGAAAATATCTTGCACTAACACACAATAACTAACTACATAGTAGTCCTGTAGCTTTTCTGGGGTTAATAATCCCTTTAAAAAATAATGCGGTCACTCAATTCATGACCGTTTGTTAGACACTGCTATGCGCAATTGGCTGCCATGTTTCTCGCACAGAATATACAGTCAATATATAATCCTTGCATTTTGATATTTTTACTTTTCAGTATATTCTGTAAAGCGCTTTGAGATGTCTCGAAGATGTGATAATGTGCTATAGCAAATGCATTATTATAAAGTATAAATTTAAAAATCTTAATCTCAGAACAATTTGCAATGCAACATATCAGCAGGTCAGTTTCTACCATCCAAAGAATCTATTCCAAAGTAAATGGCCTATAAATGCCAAATGAGAGGAGGTGGCACAGTGATCGTACGTCACTAAAGTTTCCGGCTGCCAAGCTCTCCCCAGCATCTTGTCTAAGTGGCCATTCTTCATGTTTGAGGGTCAGAAGGCAGAGAAGGGATACACAACAACAACTTGCATTTATATAGTGACCTCCATGATGTGCGGAGTCTCAAGAGCCTCACTTAACAACGGTGGAACCCGAGGCCGAGCCAGGGGGAGGGGGAGGTGATCATAGGACCGGTCAAGAGGAAGGTCTTCAGACGCGAACTGAAGATGGGGAAAAGGGGACGAGACAAAGGGGTTGAGGGAGGGAGTTCCAAAGTTTCGGGGTGTAGTGGCTGAAGGCACGGCCGCCAATGGTGGAGCAGAGGATTCGGGGGACATGGAAGAGACCGGACTCAATAGAACAGGCAGCGGATACTGCTGTGGGGAGAAAGGAGGTTAGAGAGATAGGGGGGTGGCCAAGGAATAGAGGCATTTAAAACTAGAGTGAGGATCTTGAAGTCGATCTGCTCTGTCAGGGAGTCAGTGGAGTTTGGCAAGGACTGGAGTAATCTGAGTGTGGAGTTTGGTGCGGGTGAGAATGCGGGTGGCAGAGTTTTGAATGAGCTGAATTTTGTGAATAGTGGAGGAGGGGAGACCGGCGAGGAGGCCGTTAAGAGTCGTCCAGCTGAGAGGTGACAAAGGCATGGACA